CTGACTGTCGTTCCAATGCAACGTGCAATTTCAATGCAACTCGCCGTACATATTGTGTAACGAAACTCACATGACTTTTCAATGTGTCGATTAATTATTGCAGAGTTCAGATTGAATGGCGAATCTTGCGACTTATAATTTGGAGACGGAAGGTAATTCAAGCGAACAAGACAGATTACCATAAGATAAAATATTGAAATATTAGATGAACATAAGAACACCATTTAACTGTGATTGCTTGTATTTTATTTATTGCATATTATATTTAATCTGAACTGATTTAAGCATTTTGTTAAATTAATTACAATATGTATACATGTAAATATAATTGATTCATTATACACGGTACGCAATACATAGATGACAACGGATTTTACAATACACAAATCAAACACATTAACGTGGTATTATAACGCACTTATTGAGGCATTATTACATCAAATACCCACAAATTGCATTTTACGTACAAAATGCGAATTATGCACTACATAACAACATAATTTATTTATATTTACACAATAGTATATAAATACGATTTAACAAATGTAAAAAAACATAATAAATAAACAATACATCGAACAACAATTATACATTTCCTACATATCTCAACCTGGAGCTTTCGTCCACTACGGCCTCGTAGTGATTTCCCATAAGGTGCCAGTCCCTTGAAGAACGCGCAAATATATTTCGCATTGACACGAACGTTCCCCACTGAAAGTAAAAAGCATACAGTTCACTATGTTATTAATTACACTATAAAATAGCTTTATAAATTATAATTAATTTACCTTAATGACTCTCGCACATCTGCGTGCTAAGTCTTGTGACGTCTTGCACCGTATGCGCAAACCCGCATTGTTTTCCACATCGAACGCGAACGTTCGACAAAGTTCCCCATCGACTTCCTGCTCTTCCAATGGCGATATACACACCACTCTGCCTCGAAAACTGGAAAATATTCTGCAAACGAAACAGAATGTTTATTATTTAAGTAATAAATTGTCAACACCGGAACGTGTTTGATTATTTGACCAAGGCTACAATTGTTTCGCATATTATTCTAAGCACGACGCGTATCACCACCGACGTTAACAGCGTAGTAAACATTGTCCATACATAAACACTATTACATATAAGAAAATTGATCTCACGCGGCATTCACATTAGTCGCGTAGACATGAAAAAATTCCTTAACGTGTTACAACACATTATATGATAATAAATACTTACCTCATAATTACACGGTCGCGGAAACGGCGTCCTCGTTCCATTATCGAACCTTTTTATACTGATCGACTAACACCGATCTAATGCGTATTATTAGCTGTAGGATAATCAAAAAAACAAAAATCGAATATACAATCGCGTTTACAACGAACGCAGCTTTACTGCACACAAAATATGTATAACACAATAAAACACGAAAAACTTGTAACACGTACACACGCCTATTGAGCTTACAATTGTAACTATGGTATACACATGTAAACGCTACTACGAGTATTACACTTTCGGATATCGAAGACAAATGAACCGAAACGCGCCTTGCGCGTACATACCAAGCTACAAATGTCTACACATCAATTAATAGTATGAAACAATGGTCCCACAACGCTCTTATTATGTGTTTACACATTTCAAAAGATCCAGTGGGGATTGAAATATATATAAGAACGTGATACCGCGCGCTATCGTCCCTTAATCAATTGTACGTGCTCGCATTCTTTTGGTCATCTGTTACGCGTATCGAATAGAAAATTATTCATCGTTCCTACGCAAATTGCGTACGAATTTGACTCGACTCTACGTTGTATATTTTGCGTACATGCGTGTGACATGGTGCATGTGGTATTTTGTATACGTACACACATACAATTTGACACACAATTGCGCACGTGTAGATCTTGTAGCGCTGTACTTGCGAGTAACGTCTCTCCAGTACCTGTTCCAGGCAGTAAAAATGTATTTGTATGTACTTAAGCTGCATTTTTTTTTCCGGACTAACTGTAAATCATACACACTTTCGTGAACATCATAGGATTATTTTTTTTACATACACTTGCACATATATACTTTGTGTAGGTGTGCATGTTTTGTGCGTGCATCAATGCGCGCTGGTATAGAGTCTCGAGTCGAGATGCAACGAGTCTTGAAGGTTGTACATAGTAGTAATGAGGGGATATCCGCGCCACAGCAGCATAAATAAATAAAATTAATTTTACAGAAACATTAACCCGTACTTCACGTACTTTCACTGCGCACAACACACGAACGGCACAATCAGGACGACGTTTAATAACCGACACTTCACGTTATACAAAACGCGTACGAAATTTTCGCATAAACCCACGTACAATAATATCACGGAATACTAACTTTAACCGGCTTACACCTCATAAGCGCATGCCAATCGATACTACGACCGAAATCAGTCGTGACGCTGGAACGCAACACACATCGCTACATCAATACGGTAGAAAATATTACCGACATAATAACAGAGGCATCGCACGAACCTCGCTACATCTATTCTACATATTCATGTACCGATATATAATACATACTACAACACAATTACGACACTCAATCTTGCACATATACTTATCACATACGGGATACGTCACCCCAAACCGACATAGACTCGAACGCGCGTCGAATCGCGCAGCTTCGAACTCGCCAAAACAACACCTATATAATAACAAAAATTATATAAACATGTACGACACGTTTTCCACTCAGCTTTCGGTGGGTGTCGCAACATTATCCGAAAAATAACATTTACATAGGGCGAATCACGTGATAATATTCAGAAACGATTAATGGAAAAATTATAAATAGTCCAGACCAGAAGACAAGGAAAATTTCTACCGGTATATACAGCGTCCTAAATACCATTTTTCCAATTTTATCGAGATACGGCAAGAAAACAATGGCACCCTTGCTTTTACGTAGATTTTGATTAAGGCAGGACCAAAAAAACCACGTCGTCCCTTCTTCGCTTTACTGCATCGCGACAACTTGAAAATCAACGAAAAGAACATAAATAAATGTATAAATAAACACATAACAAATAAAATACAAAACGAGTCATATACATTACACGAAACACAATTTTACCATATCACGACGAAACCCTCTGTGCACAAGACACAGCATCGCATATAAAATCGCGTTTACCATCCAAAACACATGGAATACCAATGAATGTATACACCTTGTTCGATAAGGTCATACACCGTCCACATAACGTACACATATGTTAGTACGCTTTGAGAAGCCAAGTGCGCAGTATATAATTACGTAACACAGCCGCATTATTACATTAAAACTTAAAAATAAAATTACTGTAACATCAAGTGACCGTGACAGTGCAAATTAATATAAGTATTATCATTCCCCCAGGTAAGTCTATCATTATATCGTTATGCTTTTAAAACTATTCCCAATCATAAAAAAATTGCAAATCTACTTTCGCCAATTGCAAGTCCTTTCGCATTTTCTCAGTATTTTTCGGCACTCACCCTTCTTCATCATCAAGCGCGAATGCCATACACCAAACAGGCACACGTATATCAGATTTTGTTATTTTTTCAGGCACACGCACACTATTAACACACCCACACACATACGCACGAACGATGCATACACGATCGCATTAATCGGATTAACGCGTTAACACTCCTGTACTGTTACGAGTATCGCGATAGAAAACAATGTCGCAGTATGTCGTGTTCTTATAACTAAATAATGAAACAAAATTAGTCGTTTCAAAAAATCGGAGTCAGAGTTGCTCGTCGCGAGCACTACCAAGCGTGAGCTATTGTAATCATAATAAGAATTTACACGCTAATGAGATAATATCATATCTGCATGCCTCTGCCGCAGATTTCGACACAATTCAATATATTTATATATACTTCTGTATTCATATTTTGAATTGCTTTTTCATTATTGCCACACATCAATAAGTACATCCGACAAAGTATATGCACCGATCGCAGTAACGATATATCGAGTCCCTACACAGCATACAAATTCGCAGGGGCGCACGCGCAATACCAGGCCACGCGCGAGTATAATAATATTCAAAATATCATTTCACGCTCAAGAGTATTCACGTTTACACACACATAAAACATAAACACGCACACAGCCACGCGCACACGCACATTCACACAGCCTATGTGCGTATATATATATTAGTCCCCGCTCCATTCACAGGCACTCTCGCACGCTGCCCTCACCTCTATACATACACATACCCAAAACTTATAAGTATAGGTACGCGTATATATTGACGTCCTTGCAAACATACAAACGCTGCGCTTCATATATTATCATACATTATAATACACGGAAATACAGCTAAAAGTAACGCCGCGAAAACAGTCGCACAAAAATATTCCCGCACGCGCCGTCTTACACACGTACACTTCCATCTTTTCAGTACGGTCCAGACAAATTATATCGAACCCAATGATGCTTTCGAGAAAAATCTGCAACAGGACCAAACCATAAGAGATCCGTTGGTTTCATCGAGTACAACACAAAAAAAAAAACCTCAAACCCTTCATATAACATTTTTATATTACACATAAATAAGTTGCAACGTTATGCCACCAATTCCACAATTAATCAAAACTTACCTTTACGAATACGAGTAGCAGTTATATAATTATTCCTCAATTTCAGATAACATGCCACGTACGAAGCGCCAATCACATCGTTCCCGCAGCTTGTCCATACGCCGAGCTGTATCACTCTATCGCAACCGCGACGCTAGCAATACTAACGGATTAACAACGTTCAACCATTTTCCATTCGTTATGAATGCTACTATAATAAACGCCGGTAAACGCTTCGACGAAAAAAATTCCAACTTATCATGGAGGAAATGCGGTAACTGTAAGCGTACGTTCCCAGGATTGACCTTAAAACAAGGATTATGCAACTTTTGCTCGAAACCAGGCGAAATTAAAAAATTTACAAAAGAGAATAATATGGATCCAGGACCTATACCAACGGAATTAGCAAATTTAACACTAATAGAACAACTTCTAATTGCTCAAGTGCATCCTATAATTTCTCTTTATAGAATTAAAGGAGCTCAGTATGCCTATTCGGGTAACGTCATCAATTTTCAACAAAATATACACGAATATATACGTGAATTACCAATCCACCCAAGCAAGTTACCACTAACAATTGTTTTTAAAAAAGATATGAAAGTAGGCAACGCATTATTTCGCGTAAGAGCTAGTAAGGTATATAACGCCATACAATGGCTCATAAAAAATAATATTTACTACAAGTCATCTATCATATCACACGAAAATTTACGTGCCTTACCGACAGATGACGATATATCGCACCTACTCCCCAATTTGACAATCGACAACGACACAATCACCGAATTAACACCACCGACAAACGACGAATCACCTCTTAACGAAGATTTAACAAATACTTACATATTCAGAGCAGAACCATTGGATCAACAACGTATTATAAATGAAGAATTAGAATTAAATTACCCATCATTGTCATCAACTCCCATCAACGAATTTACAAGCGAAGGATATATCGCAAGAGCTTTCCCCACGTTATTCCCTACTGGTAACGGCGACTTTTTACAGAATCGTACCATCAGCGTTACATTTTCCCAATACATACAATATTTAATGGAGTACGAAGACGGAAGATTTGCCAAANTCAAAATCTACGTAAAAGCAAGGGTGCCATTGTTTTCTTGCCGTATCTCGATAAAATTGGAAAAATGGTATTTAGGACGCTGTATATACCGGTGGAAATTTTCCTTGTCTTCTGGTCTGGACTATTTATAATTTTTCCATTAATCGTTTCTGAATATTACCACGTGATTCGCCCTATGTAAATGTTAATTTTCGGATAATGTTGCGACACCCACCGAAAGCTGAGTGGAAAACGTGTCGTACATGTTTATATAATTTTTGTTATTATATAGGTGTTGTTTTGGCGAGTTTGAAGCTGCGCGATTCGACGCGCGTTCGAGTCTATGTCGGTTTGGGGTGACGTATCCCGTATGTGATAAGTATATGTGCAAGATTGAGTGTCGTAATTGTGTTGTAGTATGTATTATATATCGGTACATGAATATGTAGAATAGATGTAGCGAGGTTCGTGCGATGCCTCTGTTATTATGTCGGTAATATTTTCTACCGTATTGGTGTAGCGATGTGTGTTGCGTTCCAGCGTCCCGACTGATTTCGGTCGTAGTATCGATTGGCATGCGCTTATGAGGTGTTAGCCGGTTAAAGTTAGTATTCCGTGATATTATTGTACGTGGGTTTATGCGAAAATTTCGTACGCGTTTTGTATAACGTGAAGTGTCGGTTATTAAACGTCGTCCTGATTGTGCCGTTCGTGTGTTGTGCGCAGTGAAATTGAACGAGTTGTTAAAATTCGGAATATTTAAATAAATTAAAATGGGGAAAACTGGCAAACGATCCCGTGACGATGATGGCAAAATTGAGGAGTACTTGCCTCTTAAAAAAGCTAAGCGCGCCGATAAGACCGAAATAATGCGAAGCAGTGATATATCGAGTGTTATCAAAGGGTAAGTTTAGTTGATCATAGTATAATGTAAATAATAGTTGAATTCGCGAAATATTGATTGGTGTGTTCGATTTTTTTTTATTTTCTATTTTTTGCTTATTTTTTGTTTTATTTTTTTGTTTTTTTTTTGTGTGTTTATATGCAGGTGGAAATTTGAAGGTCAAGTGATAACAGTGTCCGCATTGCGCGAGAGTACGACGTCGTACAAAAAAGGGACGAAGATATTTACGTTTGATATTGCTGATGAGGGTGGTCTGATAAAATGTGCGTGCTTCGGTAAAACAGCTGAGATATTATGTAATAAAATTAATGTGAGTATTTCATGTTCGTTCCATTATGGGGCAATATACATTCGATTCTTGTACATTTACAGCGTCAAACACACGCACATACGTATACATTGAATCCGGGCGCGCGCGCACACACACTCATGTATATACGTGAATATGGCTTTGCTGGAAATTAAATCGACCCGTGCACGCTAGACCGCGCTTATGCTCTCTTCTTGTTTTTCTCTCTTTCACTCTTTTCGCATTGCTCTGCGGCTGCAGCGTGCGCGCATATTATATTGCAAAGCGAGAGCGTCCCTCTATGTCTCTCTCTGTATCTCTCTCTCTCTCTTCTCTCTCTCTGTCGTTGGAGCCATACGTACATCGTACGGAGCATATCTATACGTAAGTAATGTGCCGGTGCTTTTTCGACGCAGATAGAAATAGAGGCTATAGAATTTGTTGGTCTGTTACATTTTGTTTTTAATTGAGTTACGCGCACGTTTTTTGGGGCGTCTCAGCAGGTCTAGCGCGGGATCCGAGCTTTTGAAGCTTTTTTGCGTGACCGCTTATACATACGTATACCAATAGTGCCGGGTTGCATTATACGAGTGTATATATATGTTTGGCTTTTATAATAAGAGCTTGAGCGTCTCGAACATACGTTGCACACGGGTCTTTGATGTAGCTTTTCACGTATAACGAACCACAAATAGCTATTATTCATTATTGACTAATGTATTGTATGTATTACAATTAAGTGAAATTTATTTATTTATTTATTTATTTTTATTTTTTTTTTTGGAAATTTTTTTTGATTATAGGTTGGCAAAGTCCTTCAATTGTCCAATATTGGTGTCAAGCTGACTAATACATTATATAGTACTACCGATAACGAGTATGAAGTGGAAATAAACTGTGGTACTATTATAAAGGAGATTGATTTGGAAGATGGTGAGAAGTTGAATATCTCGGTGAAGAGTACCTTTACGCAATTTAGTGACATTGATGATGTCAATATCAATAAGGCGATAAGTGAGTATGATTTGTTAAGTTGTAAAGTTAAAGTATGTGACGTTATTATGTTATGTACGTATTTGCTGTAACGATTGCAGATGTCATTGGTATTGTCAAGAATGTAACTGGGCCGAAAGAAATGGTCGCAAAGGATGGACGATCATTGATTAAAAATACAGTAACGCTTATGGATGGTATGCGAAACAAGGTAAAAGTGATTTGTTGATACTCTATAATTTTATGTATTAATTTTTATTTTTGTTGTTGATAGATTGTTGTCACTTCGTGGGGAACTATCGCCGAAAGTTTAAATGTATCTGTCAACGATGTCGTATCGATGAAGGGAGTAGGCATTCACGTATACGATGGGGTGCGTTCGTTGAAACTCTATAGCTCCTCAGTCGTTATAGTCGGTGAAGATGTAGAGGAGGCACATAGGTAAACATTAATATTGAATAACGAAATAATTGTTGTACTATAACGATACTTTATTATTTGTGATTTCAGATTGAAAGAAGTACTGGATGGAATGTCTAAAAAGTGTTAATTGTAAATCATATGATGTATAATGTGTTATATTTGTGAAATTGTATGATGGAGTCTGATATTGTAGTTGTTTGGTTTTGAATTTGTTGGTATGTAATTTATACAGAAAACGGAATAATTGTATTCTGTAATTTGCAGTTGTTGTTTGTTTTAGTTGTATGTATTTGAGTACTCGTTTAAATATTTATTTGTTTTTTCTTCTCTGTTTGTTTGTGATATTGCGTGAGCTGACAAACGTTTACAATGTTACTATCGATAATATAATGTAATGAATATGTAATTGCATAAATGTAAAGTTATATTGCATACTTGCTTTGTTGGCTTCGTTCAAGTAAAGTGCAGAAGATTGTATTATGGAGGAAGCTGCGTTGTAATTTGTGATGGAAATGAATGATTTAGACATCAGCGTTTAATTATTTGTTCCACGTATATGTTTATAAATTATTTGAGTACATACAGTGTCAACCGATATATTATATCGCTAAACGTAGTGAACTGGTTTTGAAGAATTGTTAATAAAATAATATTTGATATATTATTATTATTATTATTATTTATTTATT